AAGAAATGAGAAGTTAACAAGCCTTTTCTCTGTTCTTTGGCATTTAAATGCCAATGCAAGAATATGTTTTGTGGAGCTAAAGTGTTTCAAATTTCACATCTGACTAAAATATTTGTTTCTTCTTCCTTAGGATGTTTTGTATACTGTGTGCAACCCTGTTGGCAAGGTTCAACGTATTGTCATATTCAAGAGAAATGGAATACAAGCCATGGTTGAATATCCTTTTTGAGTGTGATTTTTTATTTTGCTTTAGGTTCTTGACTCCAGATGGGTTTAACATGAGAATGTCTTACAGACATACAGAAATTAGAACTGACCATGCCTTAGACAGAAATTAAAAAAATAATTTGGTCTCAAAATTGCACAGTATTTTTCTGAAAAAGTGGCACTTACACATTTCATCTCTATAGGAAAATGGCATTGTCAACAGTGGTCTTGATAGGCCCTAAGGCTAATAATTGCAGACCTGAAATATATCTTAGATTTGACAACCCCTAATACACAGAAGCTTCATGGCTTCTGACTGTTGATACTCAAGAAAATGGGTAAGGGATTGCACAGGTGCAGCTTGACTTCAGACTCTTTTTAAAACAGTTCCAGTATATACTGCTTGTCTTACTATTCCACCTTCAATAGAGCACAAGACAAGCTTGGGTGTCCTTGTCCCGTTCATCGTGTGTTGAGGAAATTCCCTGTTCTCATATCCTACTGTTGGCTCTATTTGTGACAATAAGTTGTACATAGGTTGAATGATCAGAGTTGTGTGTTATTGTGGTTTGCAAAGTCAGTCTGATATGGTTATGCCTTCATTTATAAAGCCCTGATAGCCCTCTTCCTAAAGGCTGATTACCCTCCACTTTTGAGCTGTTATCTGGACAAAATTTACGAAAATCACAGGCATTCTGTTGTGATTTCAGACGTTACTGATGCGGCAGGATTTATTAGTGGGTCACTTCTGTAAAACATGACTTAACTGGTGGCTGCATTGGTGATTTGCCAGGCAAAGAGAACTACCCTAACTTCCATGAAAACAAACTACTTGCCATGTTTCTCTGTAGAAGACTTAAACTGTGTGTCCTAACAGTCAGCAGTTTGACTTACTGTATGTGTTGAGTTTGTGGTAAGTGGTGTTGTCTGGATCAGATGACTTGTACAGTTCGGGATTATTCTGTATCTTGTGAAAGATTAGGGAAGTTGTGGGGAGGATCCTGTACACACTCTGAAACTACCATATTTGCATCCTTTGAATGAAGTTCTGCAACTTTCCTTTTGTTAAAAACAAAACCAACCAGCAATTGAAAGAGAACTCAAAAATGTGAGGAAAGTAATGCAGCAGCACAGAAAAACAGTTGAGGGAGCAGGAAAGTGAACATCAAGGCAAGCCTTATCTGAAAAGTGCAAAAATTTATGCAAATTTAAATGCTAGTTGCAGTACCTATTACTTCTGCAAACATACTCCCACAGTTCCAGCCAGTGTCAGTTTCTTATAGGTCTGGGAAACTTAACTTTTCTCACTTTTAAATTCCACAGTGGGTTCACTTGGAAGAAGCTGGGCCACAGGAATGTGGTAAAATTCAAGGCATATACTTTTGTTACAGACTACTTCCAAAATTTCACTCAATTATATCAAAGTATGATATCATTGATATCAAAAGGTCTGGTCTGCTGCAAAGTTTAGGCTTTCTGATACTGTATGTTATTGAGTCTGTATGAGATCATGGATTGCCATGTGCCAAGGCCCAGATACATTTTCCTGCTAATCATGGAACGAATCTTGGAGTATGCAGAGCATATGAAGTAACTTAGATGCATCTGTCCTGAGCAGCAGATTTAAAGCAATCTGCTTGTTGTATTTTTTTATGCAAGATGATTATTTGTTCATTCAAAGTCTGTCTCTTAGTTCTGTGGTTTTATTTGGCTAATGGGCAAAAAAGGGTGTAATCTTTCTTAGTTTTTGCTGCAAAATAACTACTCTGAATTTATGTGCTCCCTACCCACAAGTAGGGTCTCTAATGCTGTGAGAAGGGATGCATTGCCTTAAATCACACTTTTTTGCACCTGAACTCTGATCCCTTCTCAAATGATGCAGCTTGAACTTTCCCATCAAGGATTCTCTAGACTTGTTGGTAACTCTTAATGTCCTCTGATGAAAATTACTAACTGCACCAGAATATCCCCTTCCAAATGGCACAAGATCAGAGCATAAACAGAGCTTGCATCCATATAATCCACACTGAGGAATTTACTGATTTCTGAACAGTCTCATTGTTGCTGCTTACATCTCTTAACTTAAGTTGAACCCATATGCACTTGTTGGTGATTTGACATAAAAGTCTGTATGGAGTTCTTGCAGGGTGTATGACAGTGAAATATCTGCAGACTACAATAATAAAGGTGTATGAGATAAAAGGGACGTGAATGAGACACCTGGGGGGAAAAAGTCCTTAACATGATGTGTATGTTTGAATCAGTGTTTTGTGCCCAGAAGGCGAAGGCTGCACTCAATGGAGCAGATATCTATGCAGGATGCTGCACTCTAAAAATTGAATATGCAAGGGTAATGCTTGGACCTTCTCTTTTAATTTTACTAGAAAAATATCTATAGTCAAGGCTTAACCTTTTTCACTTTTACTTTCTTTGAACAGCCAACTCGACTTAATGTCATTAGAAACGACAACGATAGTTGGGACTACACTAAGCCATATCTGGGCCGCCGAGGTAGGTTTTCATATGTTATTGCTGTAGATGTTTGACTATACTAATGACAATCCTTCATACGTGGTCAGGCTGTATGGCAATAGTCATTCCAAAGCAGACCAGCGCTGCTGGAGGCTGTCACCAGCCAGGGAATTAACCCTGAGCCCTAGTGCCCCCTACTGCCGTGTGCTTGAGCCACTTAGTTCAACAAGGAGCCCACACCTGCAAACACCTTCGCAGTTCTCAAGGACTTGCATTTCTCCAAGCAGCTCTCTCTCTTTGGAGGAGAGGAAACCTGGCACAGACTATTCCTTATAAACTACAAACTTGCACACTGCTTCTCCTTCGAAAGGACTCTTTTCCCCTATGTTGGACAAGGCATTAAGAAGGATAGAGGACTTCAGCAGGCTGACTCTACACTTCATCATGCACCACATCGGCATCAGCAAAAAAAGCCCCAAACAAACAAAAAAACCCTCTGAAAAAACTCAGACTTGCAGTTCACCTTGTCTGCATACTGCATGCACCACCACCACAAGTTTTTAAAGGAGGACATTTTCAGTACTTCAGATTTGTGTGGGATGAATAACATGATAGACTGTACCCATTCTGTTCGAGTTTGTATGTATGCTGGTCTTACTTCCCTTAAAATTAACACTGAAAAATTGAGAACCTCCAAAATTAAGAACCTCTTGTTGATATAATTGACATTGTAATCTTTTTATTACTTGCTGTATGTGAGAGTTGCATTCAGACTTAAGAGTGTAAATATTGTCTAGTAGTAGGGAAATTTAATCCTTATATGTAGATAATTGGAACAATGCAATATCAATAGGTCCCCTCAGCTATCTTAAGTATTAAAATAGGGAGATTCCTACAGGCATACTTGTCTCTTTAAGTACTCAGTTGTAAAAATTACCACAGCTTAACTCATGTCAGTGAAAACTATGATTATATGTGTACAGTCAAACTGCTGTGTAGCCTAACTCCTGTAACGTGTTTATTTCAAAAAGAAACCAAACAAAAATATGTTGATCTGTTATTGAGTGCAGTGTTCAGTAACCTATGTACAATAATGTGTGCAATGTAAAGTTAGAAAAGTGAAGACAATGTGACCAAGATAGGCTATATGAGAACCAGGGCTTTGGCTGTTTCAAGTGATACACACTTCCCAAGTAATTCTGCAGAGACACTTGGCTTGTAAACTGTTGTACAACTACAAACTTAGGGCTTGGATTTTCAAAACAAAGTTCTTGTAAAAAGTTAACAAGGGAGCTACAGTATTGGTTGCAGCTTGTAGATTATGACTTTGTATTGGGATTCAAATTTTTTCTCAAATTTCTGAGTTTAAAAAAAAAGGGATCCTGAAGAAACTCAAGGGCAAGAAAAAAGTCTGAGGGTTTGATGTAAAAAATCTAAAGGATTAATTTGACCCTTGACTTTTGATCACTGCAGTGTTTGGAGGCTGACTTGTAACACTGTGCATCCATTATATTATGTAATTGGTCTGCAGATAGGTATGGCTGTAGGAGCTAAAGGTTCCCAATACTAGAGCAAACAGTGGAAAATGAAAAAGAATAGGTATGGCCTGCTCTTTCTCAAGATCTCTCATGCCACTCTTTTGTTTTTCTTTTGTTACTTTGACAGCCTGTCTCTATTTTCTATGCATCATTCTACTAGATATAAGAGGAAAAAATTAGAATTGTATTTCATATACATATATATATTTCATTATATATTGTATATAGCATGATTTTTCATTTACTATGGCCCACATTCATTTATCTAGAAAATAGGAACATAAATTGTTGAATGAGCACTGAAATGTACTTGAGAATTGCTCTAGGCATCTAGAGCAATTTTGCCCATAAAGTAATCCAGGAGTTGGTTTGGTTTGGTTTTATTTTGAGAGAGAGCTTTTGTATTTGTGCTTCAACTTACCCTTGCAACAGCATTGTTTGGGCTTTGAACTTAATGTAAGCAGAATTCTAGAGCTTTCTCTGCAGCAAATAAGATCTTAGCCCAAAGGAATTTCATTCTGAGGACAGACATGCTAATAAATCCTTTCAGAATGTTATACTTCCCCTCACATGTTAGGAAGGAAAATACGTTTTGCTAATGATTTTATTTTTTAAGAACTTGTTTTAGTTTTTTATGGTAACAAATTACAGACTTGCTCATAGTATTTCTCCACTAAAGTAAACTTCCTAACAATTGGCTGCTGCTATAAACCTGTATTGCATTAGACTGAACTGAAAAAACCCACCTGACTTTAGTATTCTGGCCTTTAGCCAGAAAGTTGAAACTGTAGTTTGGAGCATTTCTTTTGGTGGTAATAGCTGCATGCTCAGTGACTCAAGGGCAAAACCAAAAATCAACACCTCTCAAGCTTAAACTAGATTATAAAGAACCTTTCCTGTCAGAATATTTTTTTAACCCAGATCAGTTCTCATGTTTCAATGTTTGTTTACACAAGTATTTGTACTGGCACAATTCAGGGACTTTGTTCAAGGGAGAAACAAGTGTGGGGCAAGAAGAGAGCACTGGACTACACCACCATGAGGAGGAAATACTTGTCAGACTGTTCTCCCAGAATTCTTTAGTTGACGAATATGATCCATTATGATATTTTACTGTGTACAGTTTCAAAGGATTTAGCTCCACAGACTGGAATTAGAAAACCAATTTTTCTGAAAGATGGTTGCTGCATACAGTTTAAATGCTCAAAATACTTGCCTTCTAGAGCTAAGAACCAGAGTTTTTATCCTGAATAGGGAATGGAAAGGTAAAACTTGACAAAAGTAATTTTTCTTCTATATATTTGAAGGTGTTCAGGACTGTTCTCTCTTCAAACTTTATTGCCAAAGTAAATTATCTGACTTAGAACCTGTCCTCGAAATCCTGAGCAGAAAGGGCACATGCGATTTCATCTCCCACTGTTGTGTAATGTGAATAGGTCCTTTTTTGGGGGAAATACTTCCAACTGTATTGGGCTGGAGTTGACTATTTTCAGCAGTCCCTTAAATTTCCTGGGGACTCTTGTAAACTGATAAATGTCTTGCCCCATCTTTTCAATGTGGCTCTTTTAATTGTAAGAGAACAATTGTTGCTTACCACAAAGAAATCTGGAAGTTTAGATTTTCTCTGTCCTGCAGCATAGATCCAATTAGAAAATACAGCTTTAGCTGTGATGCACTGCGTCCCTCCATTAATGTAGCCCCCTTGCTTAACTTTATATCCTAGACAACTGGGTTTTCTTAAAGGATTGACTACTGTTTCAGTGCATTATTCAGTGATATTTTTCTTCAGTTGAACTGTTACGTGCTGCTGATAATGCCATAGTGTACAATCCTTTCAGCACACCCGTAAGTCAGTTCTGTAGGTGTTCTGTAAATATATATGTACACGTATGTAATGCTCTCTGTTTACTGATTATGAAACCATGTAATACAGGTTGTTGTTGGCTTATGCTGAAACTTCTTGAAAGAAGCCCACTTTGAAAATGTGTTGCTGTTGAAGCTAATATTATGATTCAGGTACTGTCTTTCAAAAGTACTGCATTTCAAATTTGTTTTAAGAAACACATAGGTAAATCCTGCTGTATGGTGTTTTCTATATTAATGTGTGGTGTCTGTTTAGGAAAACTATTGGGTATTTCCATAAACTTTTAATGTCTGCATCTCCTCATTGGCCACTGCCCCAAATCAACTTAAGTGCAATTTGTTATACAGATGGCAGTCTTTTAATTTTGGTGTCCCAGGGCTACAGCTTGTGCTTTTAGACATATAGTGAATGAGAAATCATTTATAAAATTAACAAGGACTCAAATTACTTTTTCGCTTCTTAATTAGAAGCTTTGTGTCTTAACTGGAGAAATGAAGTGCATAATTGGCATACTAAACTGTTTTCTTTCCCTTCCCACATGTTAGACAGAGGGAAGGGGCGGCAGAGGCAAGCTATTCTGGGAGAGCACCCATCATCGTTTAGACATGATGGTTATGGTAAGTAGCACAGGCTGACAGGGGCTTATGATTTCTGTACATGTTATGTGGAATTCTAAATATTCAATCAATGCCTGACTGTGGATCCCTTCAGCGTGAATAGTTCACTGTTGTGCTGTACCTGCAGTGCTGTCAGTCTGTTCTGAAAACACTGGTGGTTCACTGAAATCCATATGCATTCATTGCCTTATCTCTTCCCTTCATTGGAGCATCCTGCTCTACAAATTTATTCCTTAGAAGAATGTTTGCTTTCAGTTGCCATCACCCTAGCAATGCATAGAAAATTACATCTGTATTGAGAAAGCAGTGTTACTGTAGAAAACAGCAACATAGCTTGACCAATGGTTTGGTGCAACACAGAGCTCTGATGTTCTTGCATGCAAAGCTATGAATTGTGGGTGTTGCGTTTCTTCTAATTTAGCTAATTCTGAAAAGGTGTGGCTATGTGACTGTCTAAGAATGATGTTTTGGAATTAATGCTATAAAGCACTGCAGTTGCTACCAGTGCTTTCTGTAAATGAAGATCTGCTTTCACTTTCATGTGCTAGACTAAGACCTCAGAGTTGAGAAACAAATGTCCCCACTTAGATGTGACTTTTCTAGTTATTTACTTAGCTATCAGATGCAATGTGATTTGTCTTGCCTCTGTCTTTGCAAAAGTATTTATGATATTTTATAATGTAGGTTGACCTCCTACCTACTCTTTCCAAAGGTTCTTCAAACCTCCAGAATTACCAAGTTCCACCTCGATTCCCTGATGTTCTTTTTTTCATTCTTCTGATACATTCTTCTACCTTAAGTAACGTGTCTGTCTCCTCCTATACCACTGTCCTCTCTATCACTACTGCTTTTTTGCTGAAGAAAAAAGGACAAAATGTTTCTTTTATACTTGGCTTATGTGAATTTCACATTATTTTTGTCTTAAGAAAAACAAGGATCCTCTCCTTGGTCTGTAATACTGATGTTTTCTATAAACATAAGTATTGCATACTAGTAGTGTCTTGTCATTAAAAAAACCACCAAAACCCAGGAAACCTTACCTGTAGTGGGAAATAGGACTGCTTCATTTTGTATTAGTGCAAGAGTTTAAGCATTCCTGTTTCTTCCAAATGACCTTTTTGTACAAAGACATAATCTTACGGAAAAAGAACAGTGTCATCTGCTCTCCTGACTTCTGGCTAAAAGTTCACTCCTTTTGGTTTGTTTTCCGTTTTTGGTGTCCTGTAGCTCTATAGGTAGACATGGGAATATTTCTGAAGGTTGATGTTAAGTATTCCTTCTGATAGGTTTATGTTCAAATATTTTGTATGGTGCAGGGAAGATACTTCCTTTGTAATTACTGAAATACCTTTTTTCACTGGTATACATGTCTTATCTAGTAGTGTAAGAGACTTGGAACATTAAATGGAATAGAAGAGGGTTTCTTTGGTTGTTTTTTGTTTGTTGGGGTGTTTTGTTATTGGTTTCATTTTGTTTTGTTTTTCTTTAAACTGGAAAAAGGATTAATGGCAACTGCTGTAACTTACCCCTCCTGTAAATATGCACCATGTATGTGGGCTTTAATGCATGATTAAGTATTGAATCTTACTTCAAACAATGTAAAAACATGGTCTTTCATCTCCTTAGGGTCACATGGTCCTTTGTTGCCCTTGCCAAGCCGGTACCGAATGGGATCTCGGGACACTCCAGAACTTGTTGCTTATCCATTGCCCCAGGCATCCTCTTCTTACATGCATGGTGGAAATCCTTCTGGGTCAGTTGTCATGGTTAGTGGGTTGCATCAGCTCAAGATGAACTGTTCAAGGGTATTCAACCTGTTCTGCTTATATGGAAACATCGAGAAGGTAAGGCATAATTTATTAGGAGCTTGGAAGATACTATAGTCCTTTTAAATGCCTTGGAAAAAAACCTGGCTGAGATGGGCTAAAATATTACCTAATAATTTATAAAACTACTGGTGGGCTGTTTGTTGCAATGTCATTTTTTTTAACCTTATCTATCTTAGGTGAAATTTATGAAGACTATTCCAGGCACGGCACTGGTTGAAATGGGTGATGAGTATGCTGTGGAAAGAGCAGTCACACATCTCAACAATGTCAAGTTATTTGGAAAGAGACTTAATGTCTGGTAAGTATGTTTTATCAGATTAATAGTCTACCAGTAGAGGATGGAATGAGATTGCAAACAGACAGTATCCCATTCTGTTGCCATTGTGGAAGTTATAATTTCCAATTTGCAACTGTTTACTTTGGCATTGAGCTGAAGGAGGGTGGATTTAGCTTAGATATTAGGAAGGAATTCTTCCCTGTGAGGATGATGAGGCACTGGCCAGAGCAGCTGTGGATGCCTCATGCCTGGACGTGTTCTCAGCCAGGTAGGATGGGGCTCTGAGCAACTTGGTCTAGTTGAAGGTGTCCCTGCCCGTGGCAGGGGGGTTGGAACTAGATCACCTTCCAATACCAACTATTCCATGATTTTTCTATGATCTATTTATGATTTTTATTCATTTACATTAATTAAACATATGGACATTACATGGACTGACTATTAATAAACTGTATTCCCTGATGTGTCTAATCCATCCTTTCTGCATCTTGTTATGGAAGGTGTCAAATCCAACCCATCTTGTTCTTACTATATTTCAAATTGTTACAAAGAAATGTCAACTCTGTTCTGGTTAGATCAATAATCTGCAAAGTATGCAAGTCTTAATTATTGAAGAAACTGTAGCGCTTTATATATACATACATGTGTGTGTGTATATATATACACACACACACATGCATACATATACACATACATATCTCCATTCTTAAATTCCAGTGTTTCCAAGCAGCATTCAGTGGTTCCAAGCCAGATATTTGAGCTGGAGGATGGCACCAGTAGTTACAAGGATTTTGCAATGAGTAAGAACAATCGCTTCACCAGTGCTGGCCAAGCATCTAAGAACATCATCCAACCACCCTCCTGTGTGCTGCATTATTATAATGTTCCCCTATGTGTAACTGAAGAGACATTTGTAAAGGTAGGCAGTTGAAATGCCTGTGGCATGCATTGCTTTGGGGCTCTATCCTGGCTTTACACTGTGCTGCTTTTAAAAAGATACAACTGGGATGGTTACAGCAAAGCCACTGGAAGAGAGCTGTTGTTTAAAATAGGTTCATAGTGTCTCCGTATAGAAGATGTTATATTTTCACAGTTCTGGAGCTGTTCTCTCAATTTTGTTTTAATTTATTTTTTTTTAATGCAAGAAACAAAATCTTGGAAATAATGTTGAGGAGCTTAATTTGGGTTTTTTTGTGGAGAAAAGGGAAAAGTCACACAAAGCCAAATATGTGAAAGGGCAGGACTGCAGTTCACAAAAGATTTACTGACTGAATCCCTGAGACTGTCACTCTAACAACTTCTGGGATGTATTGGAATGGAGAAAAGCACCTGGAACACTTTGCGCAGTTGAGTTCTAAATGAACTCGTGATGCTTAAAACATGCAATACTGGGCATCTTAAGTGGTGGCAGTGGTAAAACTGGTAACAGTTCAATGAGTCTTTTCTTAGTTCAATAAAAATATTTTTTTTTCAAACTCTGAAAGTTAACATTGGTTCATGAGTGGTGTCCTTGTAAGTACAACTTCTGAGTTACTGTATTGAAAGGAGGAATGTAAAAAAGTAGAACTTCTTATTTAACAATGTTCTTTGGGGTAGTAGTGATAACACAGATACGGGAACCTTGTTTTGTATGCTGTAGAATGGTATTTTTAAAAGTTACCAGTCTAAACATATTTTTAAATATTATTTTGTCATAAATTCTTGCAACCTCTCTTAAAGAGTCAGAACTTTCCTTTTTGTGTGTCTCTTCCAGGAACTTGGAATTTTTGCTAATGTGTTTGTATGCATTTTTGCTGGAGTTTTACCTCTTATTTTATTTTTGTGACAGTTATGTGAAGATCATGAAGTTCTCAGCTTTATTAAGTACAAAGTGTTTGATCCAAAACGTAAGTAAGCTTTGACCTGTTTGGGAAGTTGTTTGAATTCTAGCTTTGATCAGAGCATATGCTGTCAGGAGATGTTACTGATCCCCTCCTTCCCTTTTTTATTTCTGATTTTGACAGCTTCTGCCAAAACACTGTCTGGTCTGTTGGAATGGGAATGTAAGACAGATGCAGTGGAAGCTCTCACTGTACTTAATCACTACCAGATAAGAGTCCCAAGTAAGCAAATTTTCCTGATCTTTATCTGCTATAAATTTTTTTTTTTCTGTGGAGAAGGACTTAAGGGTTCTGGTGGGCAAAAAGCTGGCCATGTGTGCTTGCAGCCCAGAAAACAAACCAAATCTTGGGCTGCATCAAAATAGGAGTGGGCAGCAGGTCAAGGGAGGTGATTCTCTCCCTCTACTCTGCCCTTGCTGAGACCCCACCTGGAGTGCTGCATCCAGCTCTGGGGTCCTAAGCCCAGGAAGGCATGGACTTGTTGGAGCAGGTCCAGAGGAAGGCCAGGAAGATGTTTAGCTGGATGCAGCACCTCTCCTGTGAGGAAAGACTGAGAGAATTGTGTTCAGCCTGGAGAAGGCCCCAGGGTGATCTTGTTGCAGCCTTCCAGTACTTTAAAGGGAGTGACTTTTGACATGGGCAGGACATGCGCAGTGCTGGGACAAGGGGTAATGGCTTTAAACTCAAGGAGGAGAGATTTAGATTTTTAGCTGTTAGGAAGAAATTCTTGACTGTGAGGGTGGTGAAGTATTGGAACAGGTTGCACAGAGCAGCTGTAGATACCTCATCCCTGGAAGTATTCAAGGCTGGGTTGGATGGGGCTCTGAGCAATCTGATTAGTGGGTGGTATCTCTGCCCATGGCAGGGGACTTGGAACTAGATGATCTTTAATGTCTCTTCCAGCCCAAACCATTCTGTGATTTTATGATTCTTTCACAGTAAATACAGAGAAGTCTGCAATATCTTGGACAGCAGATTCTTTAAGTTATTCAGCTTACTGCTCTGAATTTACTGTTCTTGTAGTAGGTTATCTCTAAAACCAGAAATTTGAGGCCAAGCTGAATTTAGCTCCAAACTAGTAAGAACAGAGCAGGGGGAGTTCACAGGGTAAACAAGTATACACTAGGTCAGATCTGCACTGGACGATTAAGAGAGTTTACTGGATTAAATGGAATTTTTCCAGGTCTTCACAGACATAACTTTGAATTCAGCCCAATGTCTAATATTAAAGTGCCTTCTCCAAACCATTATGAGTTTGTCTCCCTGTGAAGTGTTTTAACAGTTTAAATCTTTACTATTTCCCCACACCTTTGGTCCTCCTTCTCAATAATGGACTGAGATGACTTCATGGGCAGAATATTTTTGAGGATATTACAGATAACATTCACAATTTCAGTTTTATCTCAGTTTGGAAAGGTGATAACAGCAAAAGAACTTTCAACATGAAAAAGGCAAACCCTAATGTATAATCCAATATAGCTGTCACAGGAAAAGATAGTATTTTAAACCAAGGACTGCTGGTTCAGACTTGGAGTCATAAGATGGTCTGAGACTGTCTGAACCAGGAGGACTTATCTTCCATTACTTGAGAGGCAGATGTGGCTGCCATCCATGGATCTTGGCAGCTTTTCCAAATAGAGGGGTGTTGTTTCATGCTTTGCTTTCTGGAGAGGCCTGAAGGGTGTTCTTTTCTCAGTCAAACACATGTAAATACTGTTTACTGCCACAGTGTCTCTGATAGAATTGCCTCAGTCAGAGTCTTGACTTCCTTAAATATCTGTGCTTTTGCCTGTTAAATACTACTTCTATAAATGGTTCAACCAGGAAGAGAGGCAGTGATAGTCGTAGTCTTTCTTGTGTACAGCATTTGGAGTTCGATCTACATTGCCTTGGGACCACAGATCCATCACTTTGTTTTTTGTCTAAAAATGCTGGTAGAGTATCCCTAACACCTCCTAACAGGTCACCTGGGGTCTGAGGGCCACTCGCAGGGATAGGCCCTCAGACACTGGTGGGGGGTGAGTCTTAACTGTACAGAATTGGTGAACTTGTCAGGTGATGAAAGGTGTGCTCAGTAAGGTGCCCTGAGTATGTTCTGTGTTGCCTCCCCACAGATGGCTCCAACCCATATACCTTGAAGCTTTGCTTCTCTACTTCATCCCATTTATAGAGAAGAGGACAGCATGTTAAGAGCTACGTTCACCTCGATTTGCAAGTTTAAAACTACACTTCGTTCACAAAGCTCTAAAGTGGTTGTTCTAATGTTGCCTTGTTTCAACTTAATTCTAATATCTTTTATCTTGTTTTATAATAAATGGATGTTCCTTCATAAATACAAACCAGATTTTTTTCTTTTTGCCTCTGAGAAGTACATGTTGTAAGCTTACTACAAAGTTTGTATTTTGTTAGTGTCAAATGCCTAAAGAAGTACCGGTAGTATAAACAAGGTTGTTTTCTTTCAAAAATTAAATATATTTGCATTTTCAAAATGTTAAAGATTAGCAAGTATTTTTCCATTTGTAGTCTTAATTGGCAGATAGAACTGTTACATCAGAATTTTAAATGTAGAACTTGTATTTCAGTATGCTAAGTAGTGAAGTATGTTGCAATACTAAAAAGCTTGTATTTATAAAATGCTTTGATCAGGTTAATGTTGCACATACCAAACTTTTCGTAGTATAGGCTTGATTTATGTTCAAACAAAGCTAACATAGAAAATTATTAAGTATGTACACATGTATGGGATGAATTCATACTTAAAGTGGTTTTGTTTTTTTTAAAAACTATTTTCCATTTGCATTAGCATGATGCCATCTACAGCTAGTCCCACCCTAGGGGCCTTTTAAAAATTAAAATTGCAAGCCTGTATCAATGTGTTCATCCTCATTGTCCATAATTTAAATCTTTGGTGTTTAACATATCCTTTTGACTTTTCTTTAAGCAGTGATTATGACATACTAAATGGTAAAAGTTGGATATGTGACAAGGTTGATTGCAATAGAAACCAAAGTGGTAAAAATAGTTCAAAACACAAAGCAAAGCCCTACCATACTCTTTCATACCTGGACAGTTAATTCAATGTTTTCTTTTGTCTGATTTATCTTATACATCTGTTATGACCATGAAAGAATTTGCAGGGTGAATATCCTTGGCCAGCCTCTCGCATAAACTGAGGTAATCTCAGTGGGAATCAGATGATGTAACTGATTACGTGACATGGAATTAATGAGGCAAGAAATTGTTCACTTTGGGGAAGATCATTTATTTTGTTCCAGTACTTTGAAACCTCTTCTGGAACTGGAGTTGTGTCTTCTTTGGGCTAAATCCCCAGAAATGTGAATCTAAGCTGGGAAGTCTGGGAGGTGTTTGTTGTCCCAGGCTCTGTGTTTGTTCCCCTTCCTGAATTTGCAGCAAAGTGTTTAGGGTTTCTTTCAGTTCTGCAATTACTTATCAGACAGAAGTTACTTTATCAGATACTTTATGCTTTATCATACAAGTTTTTGTTCTATCTTTACATATTTTTTCTATATCCATCCTTTATGCAGGATAATTTGTGCAGTATGCTCGTCCTTGAGAGGTTATGTTGCAGTACATTTACAGCCTGTGGGCATTGCACGTCTTTCAATACAGACTGGATTTTCCCCATTCTGAATTTCAAGGCAAATACTCCTCATCATACAAGGGAAAATGTGTCAGCTGTCCTTCAGGTTTTCCTATCAGTGATTCGTATTTGCCTTGTCTGCCTCCATTTTGTTCATGCTTCAGGTAATGAGTATTTCAGGTGTTCAAATCAGACTTCTAATGTGTCTGGGAACTGAGAACTGAAGGACAGCTGCTCTTTGGCAGCCCTTTCAGCATAGGGTTTGGAATAGTACTAGCCTCCTGTCTGTGAGGTTGCAAACTGATTTGCATTTTAGGGGCACTGCTTATAGTCTTTCAGCCTCAGTGCTCCTTCCCTGGAAATTGCTTCCAGACAGCTCCAGTGCACAAGGCTGCATGCTATATCTTGCTGCTTGCCACAGAAGTACTGGGTACTAGTGAAATGTTCTGTGCTGCTTAGTGTTTTAACTGTAAAAGGTCTCTCCCAATCATTCATTTCTCTTCTGTCAGTGTGAATGTTCTGTGGAAACTTGTTTCTTCTGTCATAACTTGCTTTGCTGTTTGTATTGCTGTAGTTTCAGAAGTCAAGTTGTCTGTAGTTGAGCATTAAAACCAGTGTGTTTTCTGTTGGTCCAATTTGCAATGTGGGATAAGTGACCCTTAAAGCATTCAGATTTTATAAAAAAAACCAAAGCACTTTAATGTTTTGGTGTCCTTAGTGGGTCACAGCGTTCAGTGCCTAAGATCTTCAGTGCAAGGCATCTTTACTGTGTCTTCCCAGATCAAATGGAGCATGGTTCCTGCTGTATCTTGAAGGACTTGACAGCAACTGAAAGTCTCATATACAAAATGAGTCGCCTGTGTCACATGGGGAAGAAAAGAGAGGAGACTGAAAAATTGTGCAAGCTTCTTTCTTCATAAAATAATCATCTTATTTATGTATTCATGAGAACAGGAAAGATTCCTTGTTGGTGTTTTGCTGTTAAAAGGAAGCCTACAAGGATGGACACTTGTCCTCAGGAAGGAATGAGGTTGGTCTCCTTCCACACACGAGATCTGTGTTGACCTTTAATCTTGCTCTGTAGAACAGAGCCAAAACAGTGGGGCTGGTGAGAAATTAGTTGTTCCAAGGGGAATGATGTTTGTCTGTCATTTGGCAGTGGTATTACTAAACTTCTTAGATTAAAATTAGACCTTTAAGGTCTCTTAATGCAGTTGTTTCTGTCTCTTTTGCATAAGCCATACAAGCAACATAGTGAACATTGCTATGCACATTCCCTGCTGGTAAGCAGCTGGCATTCACACTGTAATACCTTCGTGTCTGTCCCACTGTTTGTTTTGTGGGGTTTTGTTTGTTTTTCTAATTGATCACCTTTCTTTGGAACTAAATGATATATTGAGGTGGAGATCTGTTGCCTTCTGTCATGCTACTCTAATCCTTATTTGTATTTATTTTTCCTTATATGCAAGAAGTGGAGGAATAGTTTCTTTTTGACGCTCTATACCACCACAGCAATACGAAGTGTATTGCTAGGGTGGTACAAGAGAAGACTTAAAAGAAACCATGGAGGAAGTGTGTGGGTATCCTGCTTTCTGAAAGGAATGATGCAACTTAATGTGGTGTCACTAAGTCCGTCTTTCCATAAGGGAGAGTGTTCGGGGTGAGCTGGCTTGTTGCTGGCTGAAACCCTCTTTGTTGTAATTAAATGCAACTTGCTCCTTTTCCTGCTGTGTGTTTTCTTGTGAACAGTGCTTGAACTTGTTTGAATATGATGGGTTAGCAGGAGACATTCAGTCTCTTCTGTTGAATAATACATTGAAGTCTGGGAACATGAACACGCTTGCTCAATTACTATTTTTCACTTTGGGGATGTGTTTAAACAACCTTGGAAATTTTTTTTGTGTCCTTTTTTGAAAATATCTCTCACATGTGTAGCTACTAGTGTCTTTTTTAGCCTTTCCAGGGTTTCATGTCTATTTTATGCCTACTTTTATGTCCAACCAGTCTGTTCGTTAGAATAACAATGGGGATGAGTATGTTATGTGACTGATTTGTGGTGAAATTCAAGGGTGAATGGAGACAGATGGTGCTGGAAGGAAGGCATGAAGGAACAAGGGGTGAGCACAGTTCACTAGACCTGTCTCTCTTCTGGACTGTGGGGCTGGCAAGGATGAGAGGTGCACATTGAACTGCAGCTGCATCAAGTGATCTGATACACAAGATCTCACCTAACAAATGAGGTGTCTTTTACTTCTTCGCTTCTTCCAGCTTGATGCCATTTTTGTTCCTAATTGTTAAGACCACATCTTAAATTAATCTAGGCTTTTCCCAGCCTACTTTTGCTTTGTACAGAATGGCTTGTGAGTGGACTGAAATGTGAGAAATGTTGATAGTATTCACCAGGGAAGTCTGAGTTGAGACATACTTGATGTCATTCTTAATCTGTAAAGCAAGGGATTTGTTTTCCTCAACTGTAAGTGAGTAGCAAGACAGTATCTTTTCAGTTGCACCACTAATTCTGACACTCATGGAGAGAGGTGATCAGATGGGCTCACGTGATAATGTGATGTTTCTAGCATACTACTTGGGTTCCTTAGAGAAGCTGGGGGGGATCTGAGAGAAAAATAACCTGAAACAAACAGCTGTTCTGGGTTTGGGATGATGAGGGCCCCAAGTTCTACTGCTAAAGCATTTGATTCGATAAAGGATGAAGAGCCTTCACTTCTAGGCAGTTGAAACATTAAGTTAAAGAGAAAAAATATTTGTGTTCTGTTAAGTCTCCTAATGCATAATAATCTTTCCCTGTTGGAAAAACAGAAGATTTCTTTCTTTCAAGGATTGTAATTCCCACAGGATGTGGAGGAACCTAAGGCAGCCAGATTATTTGTGCTGTGCTTTGACCACGGCTCTCTAAAGGAAGTAAACTCACTCTCTTTTCTTGAGTTCAGAAAGCTTTGTTATCTGTCCTGTGCCAAGCCTTCCTGTCCTGGCCTTTCCCAGGCAGCTCCCTGGGCTAGAGCCATGCATTAATTTACTTAGGTTCCCTGCTCTTCCTCTTGACTGTGGCAGCTGCTGATGCATAGTCTTAATTTCTGGCATGATTTATTTAACTTTGCCTCCTCTGGTGTTCATGGAGCAGCTGCAGACTGACTGGGTCTTCATGCAAGGGAATGAGTCCTGCAGGAATGTGCCAGGAAGCCAGCAGCTCTCCTCCAAGGCACTTGGGATCCAGGAATACAAATTAGTCCTGGCAGGGGCAGTATTCAGAACGAAACACTGAAATGGGCTTGTAGCGTGGGGGGTGGCTGAAGTTGGCAGTTGCAGCAGAGTACAGGATGTATTTACACAATTTCATATAAGCCATTACCTGTTTGTTTAATTTCTATTGTCACATTTTCTTCTTTCCATTTCTGGTCTCATCATTCTTCAAGCTGCTTAGAAAAACTGTTTATGCTCCATTGAAATTTGCGTGGATAGTAGTCAAATAAGTCCCCAGAAGTTATTAGCTGGAGTGCTTCTGACTGAAATTCTCTCCTAAATTGTCTGTCTTCTAGGCTGTTAATTCAGCAGACTTTGGATATTTCAGGAAATGCAATTTGTGTTACTTGATGCTTTCTCTGTCATCAAAGTGTAAACTTCTGGCTGTTCTAAACTTGATGGCATGAATGCAGGGATTTGTTTATAATATAGGTTTATGCTTCTGTTTTCTCTTCTGTTAACCACAGCTCTGTAACTGCTAAATCAGATTAAATCAGTGGGCTTTAGATAAGCATCCTGTCAAAAGACTTCAGAAGTGTATAAGAAATAGCCTGGTCAGACAGTTACTTGGGTAATTAATGCATGGCTT